AGCAAACTTGTATGACCCACGCATGACGTTAATGGTCCGAACATATCGTTCATATTCTAAACGGTATGAGATATTTTGATTCGGTTGGAAGATTCACAACACGTCGAGAGCGATTTAAATTTTGTTACATTCTCTCTAATAAGAGAGGAGAATCATATAATTTAACATAACAAGAAATATTATAATTCGAGGATAATATAATAAGACGAAAAAACGAGAGAGAAGACTTATGACTTTTGATGATCGGCATATTGTATATTCAACTATTTTGATGATAGGCAAATTGTATATTCAACTAAGGACTAAGGAGACGCCACATAAAGCAGAAAGAAACGTTTGTTGACCAATGACTTGATGACTCAGGAGCATGTGAACATAAAATGAGTCGTGTAAGTATCCCATTGGTTTAAGACATTTTCTCTTTGTGCTTCACTGCCTCTTCTTCTATTTAAAGAAGTAAACACACCAATGGTCTTGTCAAATGTTTCTTAATTTTTCACTCATTAAGAGAAAATAACTTTTTAATTTTTAGTTTCTGAAGAGATCTTCAGGATGCCCGGAGGAGGATTTGCAACGGCTCCGGCGAACGGAGTGGAGTTTGAGGCAAAGATAACTCCTATAGTAATCATCTCTTGCATCATGGCTGCTACCGGTGGCCTAATGTTTGGCTACGACGTTGGTGTTTCCGGTATGAATACAATATTAGTTATATTATAATATACAAAAAGTAGAAGAAAATTTGATAATACAAAAAGTTGTGATAGTGCAAGTTTCTCAAGTAATGATTTTTCAGTAGAACTTGCTATGTTCTTACCTATCACAAACAACTTCTTCGGTTGGAACATTTTACCTAAAATTTAAAGGACTATTAGAAAACACTTAATCAGAATGAATTTTTTCACTAACTAGCTAGTTCAATATATTCATCTATTAGTCGAAGTAACAAAATAATCTAAAGTCTTACGCTTACAAAAGTTTGGCAACTAGGGGTCTAGACCGTCCTTGTTTTTGCTTTTGATAGTATAATGACAAAACTAACGTCATAGGTTTTAGTTTTTCTTTTTCCTTTACAGTAGGCTTTTTTATTTTAATCGTCTACAATATATGCACACTTATAACACATCCGCGGGACTAGTAAACTATATTATTATGAATTTATGAGTATGAAATCATGAGTATCCTATAAGTGGTAATGAAATTAAACGGTGAAAACTAGCAAGGAAAAATAAATGAGATAACATCACCAATCTATGTAGGCGGAGTGACTGCGATGCCGGACTTTCTCAAAAAGTTTTTTCCGGTAGTTCACCGGCGAGTAGAAGCCGGCGGAGATGAAAACAACAACTACTGCAAATACGACAACCAAGGACTACAACTCTTCACATCATCTCTATACTTAGCCGGTCTAACCGCAACGTTCTTCGCATCATACACGACGAGAACGCTCGGACGAAGGCCAACGATGCTCATAGCCGGACTTTTCTTCATCGTCGGTGTGGTTCTCAACACGGCGGCTCATAACTTAGCCATGCTTATCGCAGGCCGGATATTGCTTGGTTGTGGCGTTGGGTTCGCTAATCAAGCCGTGCCGTTGTTCTTGTCGGAGATTGCACCTACTAAGATCCGAGGTGGTCTTAATATTCTGTTTCAACTTAACGTCACTATTGGTATCCTCTTCGCCAATCTTGTCAACTATGGGACCGCCAAGTAAATATCTCTTTTCCTCTTATCTTTTTTTTTATTATACGTTTAATAAAATGTGTGGAAATAAACCTAGGGTTTGAGATCTTTTAACGAAAAAAAGAAACAAAATAAATTCCTAACAAATATATGGATAATTCTATAAATTTTGTTTTTTGATAAGGAACTATTGAAAATATCCACATGGATGTCTCTTTTACACAACCTTTTGTTGTAAGAAACGATTTCGTTACATATACTTTCTGAAGTTTTCCAATTTTTTATACCCTTTCTGTCAAATTTTTCGCTATCCGTGTGTAAATATCGCTTCTTTTTATAAAAAAATATATATATATATATAAAAGAAGGTTTCTCCATATTCCAATCTTATTACCATAAGTAAAAGCATTTTATCTTTTTTAAAGTAGATTAAATAAGTCTTCCGTAATTTCGGCAAATTCTATCCACATATGCCTACGTCTTATATAATACACGGAACGTAGCCCATTTTTCACGTCATACCATACCCTAAAGAAGTAACAATTTTTTCTCTGCATTGACTTTCAACGCCCATGAATTATGAATGATGATGATCTGTCCGTGAAGCCGAGTAAATGGGCTTAACTAATATAACAACCTAAGCCCATAGTGGAGTTAAATATGGAGCCCACTAAATAAATAAAATGATATTGCAGGATAAGCGGAGGATGGGGATGGAGGTTGTCGCTAGGTTTGGCCGGAATCCCGGCGCTTCTCCTGACGGTCGGAGCTCTACTGGTGACGGAGACACCCAACAGTCTCGTCGAAAGAGGTCGTCTCGATGAAGGAAAAGCCGTCCTCCGTCGTATTCGAGGCACCGATAATGTCGAACTAGAGTTCGCCGATCTCCTCGAAGCTAGCCGTCTTGCCAAAGAAGTCAAACACCCTTTCAGAAACCTTCTTCAACGCAGGAATCGCCCTCAGCTCGTCATCGCCGTCGCTTTGCAGGTCAGTTCTCTCTTTTACTCAATCCGGAAAGTTACCGGAGTTTAATTTGTAGTCGAAATTGAACGGAAATTGAAGGGAAACTCTCAATTTGGGATCCAGGAACCCTAAATTGTGAAGCCAAACGGCTGAAATGTCTGCTCAATATCTGGAAATTTGATTCCGTTTTGTTAAATTCCAAAGCTAAGGTCTCAATTTGGGATCCTGGAACCCTAAATTGCGAATCCAAACTACTAAACCATGTGCTCAATCTCTGGAAATTTGATTCCTTTTGTGTTAAATTTCAAAGCTTTTCTGTTGGTAAATTCCCTAATCATTGTTTTGTGGTGATTACATGAAAATTTGCAGATCTTTCAGCAATGCACTGGAATCAACGCTATTATGTTCTACGCTCCTGTTCTGTTCAGTACTCTAGGCTTTGGCAATGACGCTGCTCTCTACTCTGCAGTGGTCACTGGCGCAGTCAACGTTCTCTCCACTTTGGTTTCAATCTACTCCGTTGATAAAGTTGGTCGCCGTGTTCTTCTCCTTGAAGCTGGTGTACAAATGTTCTTCTCTCAGGTTGTAATCGCCATTGTCCTCGGCATCAAAGTCACAGACCATTCTAAGAATCTCTCCAAAGGGTTTGCGATTCTTGTCGTGGTCATGATCTGCACTTATGTAGCTGCTTTTGCCTGGTCATGGGGACCGCTCGGGTGGCTAATCCCTAGTGAGACTTTCCCTCTAGAGACACGTTCTGCGGGACAGAGTGTTACGGTCTGCGTTAACCTGCTCTTCACTTTCATAATCGCTCAGGCTTTCCTCTCCATGTTGTGCCATTTCAAGTTTGGGATATTCATCTTCTTTTCGGCGTGGGTCTTGGTCATGTCTCTGTTTGTGATGTTTCTCCTACCTGAGACTAAGAACGTGCCTATCGAGGAGATGACAGAGAGAGTGTGGAAGAAGCACTGGTTCTGGGCTAGATTTATGAATGATCACAATGATCAAGCGTTCGTGAGTGGTGATGAAACCAAGAAGAGTAACGGTAAATCTAACGGCTTTGATCCTTCAACACGGCTCTAATTGGTTAAAACCAAAGTAGAAGCAGAAGAGAGAGGACAACAGGTGATAGAACCACCATATAGATAAAGGCAAATACAGTTTTTATACACTACTTATAATTCATTACTTCAATCTGCGTTTGTGTATATCTAAAGTTTCTTGTTCTTTTCCTTTGTTGTGTAACGAGTGCTCTGTTTTTTCTATTAAAGAATGACAATGTGTATACTTCAAAGTCCAAATGTACGTTAGCTGATTTTTTTTCAACAAACGATAAGCTCACCTATGTTAATGGGCCTAAAGTGGGTTTATTATAGGCCTGTTATGGACATTAACTAGATTTTCTTGAAAAAAGCTATCACATCATGCACGTAACCCATTAACCTTTTTGTTCCCACACGAACAAAGGCGTTTTACATTCCTAACCGGCTTTTTTCATTTGACTCGAAATATAGACTGGTTTTGAAGTTACAGTCACTGCGGAATGCTGCAGTGATCAAATTGCTAACTTGACAAAAAAGGTTTTATCATAAAGTTAGAATTAAGATTTGTAAAGAAATCCCTTTATCCAAGGTGTAGGAGGAAGAGTAACTGCAAAGTATAAATATTAGAGATGATTCAAAATTAGCAGACCAACCAACTTGACATTCTTTCCTTACAAGTCTTCCAAACCATCTGAACACTTAGCTACTTATAACTAATTATTATTTTGGAAGTTATTTACTTTTGATTAGTTTCACTTGAACATGTTTTTTAAAAAAGTTGTTAAGCGATTGACAAATTGATGAGTTTTCAAAAAACAATTTGTTAATAATGACTGACCTTATGTCTTATATATTAGATTAGGTCCCAGCATATAATGTGAGATTCCTAACATCACTTCAAAATGATATTTCTTCTATGATTCTATCTAAGTCATTCATATCAATAACTCCCACAGTAAAAAAGTAACCTTGGATCAGATGGATTTCAGTTCGGCTAATCAATGTCTTTATTTTTTTGGCCTCTGATTTCAGATGGATTTGTTAATGAGTGGGGTTAATCTTACATTCGTGTGTAGCCACAAAATAGTTTGCGTATATATAAGCTTCCAAATTTACAAGTCGGTATTAGAAATTAAAAGAGAAACAAGTAAAGTAAGCAATCTTTGTCAGTATTTTGCTTTTTAGTTACTCCTTTCTCCAAATTAGCCAACTAACCAATTAAGAGAAAGTGGCCTCCTCGGTCTCATACATGATACATACACCACTCACATTCATACCTCCTTGTTTATATATACATACATAAAAAAAGAGAGAGAAATTAAAGGAGAAAACCTTGTGGGGCTCTAGACCAAAGAAGAAGAAGAGACAGAGAGAGTTGGCCGATGGCGGCGAAGATAGTGGCGGCTTTGGTGTGTATGGTGGTGATGCTACGGCTGAGTGAAGCGGCGGTGTACAAAGTCGGCGAGTCAGCAGGCTGGACAACCATAGCCAACGTGGACTACAAGCTATGGGCCTCTACCAAAACTTTCCACATTGGTGATACTGTCTGTGAGTTCCTTAATTTCTTACCATCATTATACATTAAGAACAAGATACAGCAGATATTGAGTGTCTTCGTTTTATTTCTGTCGAAAATGTGAGCCCCTCCTCCAGCAATCTTTGTTCTTTAAGTGCGTAAGCTTTTGGTTGAAAGTAAAGTACCACTCACGCCCTAATCATTGTGACTTTTAGGTTACTAAATAATATTAAGGATAAATACGGTAAATATGTTTATATTATTGTTTTCAAATGACCTTTATAAGTTTAGTAGTGAATTAACAAAAACAGGGTTCTTAACTTATGTTTTGAGTTTCTAAATATGTATATACATTGGACCCCCAAAATTTTAGAAAAAAATAATTTAACGCTCAAATATGTGTTTAATATATATTTTGCGCAAAGCATTCAAATATTTAAGACGGTCCTGAGATTTTTACTGGTCTTTGACATTCTTAACTGAATATGAGAAAGAAAAAAAAAACATAAAAGAGCACATATGGTTAGGTTATTGTATATTTCTAGTAAAATAAAATAGATAAACATAGACTATATGCTCTCTTCTTTTTTTCATTTTATGCACGTATATAAAATGTTATTAGTTTCATGAAAATGTGAGTAAAGCGATATAGTTTGAATCTTGACAGTGTTCGAATACAACCCACAATTCCACAACGTGATGAGAGTGACGCACTCAATGTACAGAAGCTGCAACAGCTCAAAGCCAATCTCCACATTCACCACAGGGAACGACTCAATCACACTCACAAACCACGGCCACCATTTCTTCTTCTGCGGCGTTCCCGGCCATTGCCTCGCCGGTCAGAAGCTCGACCTCAACGTCATTCACCCCGCCTCCTCCACTCCACTCTCTGATCCTCCGATTTCCTCCTCCTCCACTTCTCCTCCGTCGACTCCTACCATTCCTGCAGCCGGAGTCCCCGGTTCATCTCCTAGCCATGCCGCTTCTCTCCCGAGTGCGGCGGCAGCTGTGGTGGCTCTCTTTGTCTCTTTGGTCTTTGCAGATTTTGCTTCTTAATTAGGATTATTATTATATATACATTGGAACTATGTCATATAAGTTTTTTTGTTATGTTGTTTTTTCTTTCTACCCTCTTATTCTTTTTCTTTAGTTAATGCAAAATGTAGAGACGCTCCGTCATTAATGAAAGAAAATTGAGAACGTACTAACGAATTATATTTTGTGAAATTCGTTAAATAGGCTAGTTTTGTTATACGTACGCATATTTTTAAGTTTGAACCCAAGTTATTGATAGGATGACAACACTAGTATGGTAGTACCAACCAAAACCAAGTTCCTATCAGAACAGAGTCATCAAACGACGTCACTTCGTTGCTTCCCTCCAAGTCTGCGAATAAATCGGACATAGGCCATTATGCTCTCAAGCCCAAAGCGGCCTCAAGTCATGGGCCCAACAACAGCTGTTCTGCAACAAATCAGACACAACGGATACTTGTTCTGCAAGAAGAAGACAAACTTAAATGCAGAGCAGATAAAGCAATGTTAAAATCAGAAAAGCAGTTTCCCAGAGTCCGTACGACTGAGACTCAGAACAGATTTGAAGCTCTATCATCTCTACCTCAAGATTAACGCAACCGATAGATCTTTGCCATGTGGCATTAGGGTTTCTACCTTTCTTTCATCTTCTTCTAGTATAAATATGATGTTAGGATGTAACAGCCACTCTAAGTTTATGAGAATGAAGTTTCAGATTTCTTAAAATCCTTTGTTTAAAAATCTGTTCATGGTATCAGAGCCCATGGCACAAGAATCCATGGAGCCTTATACTTCTCCTTCTCTTAACATCACAAATTGTGTCACCATCACTCTTACACAGAAGAACTACATTTTGTGGAAGACTCAGTTTGAAGCCTTTCTCTCCGGCCAACGTTTGCTCGGTTTTGTAAACTGTTCCACTCCCAAACCTTTTCCTGTGATTCGGACAACAACTGCAGAAGGTGTTCAGACAGAGTCTCCAAATCCGGATGCAGCAAAATGGGACCAAGTCGACCAGGTCGTTCGTTCTTGGCTTCTTGGCTCCTTCTCTGAGGATCTTCTGAGTCTTGTTGTTGACTGCACCACTTCACAAGATGTGTGGACCTGTCTTGCCAACCATTACAACAAAGTCTCCTCTTCTCGTCTATTTGAGCTCCAACGCAAGCTTCAGACAGTCACGAAGGGTGAAAAACCCATGTCTGAGTTTGTTCAGGAAATCAAAACGATTTGTGACCAACTCTCGTCTATTGGCCAACCTGTTTCTGAAAATATGAAGATCTTCGCTGCTCTCCATGGTCTTGGGCGTGAGTTTGAACCCATAAAGACAAGCATTGAAGGCTCAATGGATCAAACTCCTGTTCCCACCTTTAATGACATCATTCCTCGTCTCGCTGCTTACGATGACCGTCTTCAAAGCTATTTGACCTCTTCAGAGGCTTCTCCTCATCTTGCCTTCTACACCAACAGGGGAAGAGGTCAGTATAATCAAAGAGGAAGCAGAGGTCGAGGACGAGGCTCTTCTTTTTCAACTCGAGGACGCGGCTTTCATCAACAGGTCACTTCGTCTCATGCTTCCTCTGATGATGAAAACCGACCCTTTTGTCAGATCTGTGGCAAAAGAGGACATGATGCTCTAAGCTGTTGGCATCGCTTTGATAACACCTATCAGCGACCTGATGTTCACAATGCTTTAGCTGCTCTTCGTATTACTGATGTCACAGACCAGTCAGGTCAAGAATGGTATCCAGATACCGGAGCTAGCTCTCACATCACCAGCTCTCCAAGCCATCTTCTTCAGTCTCACCCCTATACCGGATCTGATGCAGTTATGGTTGCCGATGGAAGCTATCTGCCCATTACTCACACTGGTTCAACAGTCATTGGTTCCTCTTCAGGTAAGATTCCTCTGACTGATGTTCTAGTTTGTCCTAACATAGCGAAATCTCTTCTTTCTGTGTCAAAGGTCACAAAGGACTATCCCTGCTCTTTTGAGTTTGACTGTGATGGTGTTGTTGTTAAGGACAAGGTCACAAAGAGGTTACTAGTGCTGGGAAGAAACAGTGATGGTCTCTACAAGTTGACACCAAATAAGGTTCCCAAGCCACAGGTGCTTTACTCCTCTAGACAGCATTCAGCGAGTGCTGCTGTTTGGCATAGGAGATTGGGACATCCGAGTGATCAAGTTCTGCAGTTTCTAGTCTCTTCTCAAGCCATTCCTCTAAATAAAAGTACAAGCGTGATGTGTCCTTCATGTCAACTTGGAAAGAGTTCAAGGCTTCCCTTTGGTGATTCCTCCTATGTAGCTTCTAGACCTCTTCAACGGATCCATTGTGATTTATGGGGTCCTGCACCAGTTGTTTCTGTGCAAGGATTCCGATATTATGTAATACTCATTGATAGTTGGTCTCGCTACTGCTGGCTTTATCCTCTGAAATATAAATCAGACTTCTGTTCTACTTTCATTATGTTTCAGAAGCTTGTTGAGAATCAGTTTAATACAAAAATAGCTACATTTCAATGCGATGGGGGTGGAGAATTTACAAACAATCGTTTTGTGAACCATCTGCAAGAATGTGGAATCCAACAATTTATATCTTGTCCACATACTCCACAGCAAAACGGCTTAGCTGAAAGGAAACACAGACATCTGCTTGAGCTCGCCCTTTCCATGATGTATGAGAGTCGTGTTCCACAGAAATATTGGGTTGAAGCTGTCTTTATTGCAAACTACGTGATTAATCTTCTCCCAACAACAGCTCTCGAGTCCAAAACCTCTCCGCATCAAAAGCTATATAGTAGTCCTCCTGATTATACTGCTCTCAGAACCTTTGGATGCGCATGTTTTCCAACCCTTAGAGACTATGCATCAAATAAATTTGATCCAAGGTCTTTACACTGTGTTTTCTTGGGGTATACTACAAGATACAAGGGCTACCGGTGCTTGTATCCTCCTACTGGAAGAGTTTACATCAGCCGGCATGTCCTTTTTGATGAGGAAGCTTATCCCTTTCAAGACATCTATGTCTCTCTACAGCAAAAGATCAGTACACCTCTGCACTCAGCTTGGATTAAGTCGATATCTCTATCTGTTGCTTCGAAAACCGAATCAAGCTCAGTTGACACTGGTCCAATCTCCTTTGGTTCCTTAAGTGAATCAAACTCTCAGAACTCACCTTTGTTCACTGCAGCTGACTTCCCTCCTCTCACTGCTCCAAGCACATCAAGTCATCCAGTTCAGATAAGTGTGACTACTACTGATGAAGACGGATGTTCTGGGCGTACGGCGTGCTTTGATCACGATCCTATAGGCGACAGCATCTCGTTTTCACCAGCTAGGCCAGTCACACCAGATAATTCTCTGTCCGAATTCCCGATTGCTGCTCCACCATCCAGCTTGTCTCCAACAGCTTCTGATATACCCTCAGTTCTAGAGGTTTCAAACGATTCTCAACATCCCATGATCACTAGATCAAAGGCTGGTGTCTCTAAACCTAATCCTCGCTACATATTACACACTCAGAAGGTTTCATACCCTGAACCCAGGACAGTCACAGCTGCTCTCAAAGATCCAGGATGGACTGATGCAATGCAAGAGGAAATGCACACCTGCAGAGTCACCAAAACCTTCTCGCTTGTCCCTTATTCACCAGATATGAATGTACTTGGCAGCAAATGGATTTTTCGAACCAAACTTAATGCTGATGGTTCTTTAGACAAGCTCAAGGCTCGCCTTGTTGCTAAGGGATTTGATCAGGAGGAAGGCATTGACTACTTAGAAACTTACAGCCCTGTAGTCAGAACAGCAACAGTTCGTGCAATTCTTCATACAGCAACAGTAATGGAGTGGGACATCAACAAATGGATGTCAAAAATGCTTTCCTCCATGGTGATCTTACTGAAGTTGTCTATATGAAGCAACCAGCTGGTTTTGTTGATAAAGCTCATCCTGATCATGTTTGGAAGCTGCATAAAGCTCTCTATGGACTTAAACAAGCTCCAAGAGCCTGGTTTGATAAATTCAGCAATTACTTACTTGAGTTTGGCTTTGTTTGCAGTAAACAAGACCCTTCACTCTTCGTGTATGCTCATAAACAAGATGTGATCATGTTGCTTCTCTTATATGGTTATAACAGGTAACAAGTCTGCGGCGATGGACAAGTTTCTTACCGATATCAACAAGCATTTCCGTATGAAAGACCTTGGCCAAATGCATTACTTTCTGGGAATACAAGCTCATTTCCATCAAGAGGGGCTATTCCTTTCACAGCAAAAATATGCTGAGGACTTGCTTGCTGTGGCCGCGATGACTGACTGTGCCACAGTGTCCACACCATTGCCACTACAGCCTCACAAAGTGCCACATCAAGACAAGCTCTTTGAAAACCTAACTTACTTCAGAAGTCTAGTTGGGAAACTGCAGTATCTTACACTAACAAGACCTGAAATTCAGTATGCCGTGAACTTCATCTGTCAAAAGATGCATGCTCCAACAGTTGCAGATTTTCATCTCCTAAAGAGGGTGCTTCGATATATTAAAGGCACAATCACAATGGGGATAACTTTCAGAAAAGAAACCGACTTCACTGTTCGAGCCTACAGTGACTCAGACTGGGCTGGCTGTCCAACAACACGCAGGTCAACTAGTGGTTACTGCACCTACTTGGGCAATAACCTCATCTCCTGGTCTTCAAGAAAACAAAATACAGTCGCTAAGAGCTCCACTGAAGCAGAGTACTTATTTCTTTCTGAAACTGCCTCAGAACTTACCTGGATTGGAAATCTCTTAAAGGATCTAGGTATACCGCTTCATGTTACCCCTGAGCTCTACTGTGACAATCTCTCTTCTGTTTATCTAACAGTAAACCCTGCTTATCACGCTCGAACAAAACATTTTGAGACTCATCACCACTATGTTCGAGAACGTGTGGCATTGGGGTATCTTGTTGTGAAACACATCTCTTCCGAGCATCAGATTGCCGACATCTTCACAAAGTCCTTGCCGGCGGTCGCTTTTGTCTCCCTGAGATTCAAACTCGGCGTTGATACTCCACCACCACCAAGTTTGAGAGGGGTTATCAGAACAGAGTCATCAAACGACGTCACTTCGTTGCTTCCCTCCAAGTCTGCGAATAAATCGGACATGGGCCATTATGCTCTCAAGCCCAAAGCGGCCTCAAGTCATGGGCCCAACAACAGCTGTTCTGCAACAAATCAGACACAACAGATACTTGTTCTGCAAGAAGAAGACAAACTTAAATGCAGAGCAGATAAAGCAATGTTAAAACCAGAAAAGCAGTTTCCCAGAGTCCGTACGACTGAGACTCAGAACAGATTTGAAGCTCTATCATCTCTACCTCAAGATTAACGCAACCGATAGATCTTTGCCATGTGGCATTAGGGTTTCTACCTTTCTTTCATCTTCTTCTAGGATAAATATGATGTTAGGATGTAACAGCCACTCTAAGTTTATGAGAATGAAGTTTCAGATTTCTTAAAACCCTTTGTTTAAAAATATGTTCAGTTCCCTAGCCCTAACCCTAACCCTAACCCTATTTTTTTTGGTTATTCGATTTTTTTTTTTTAATGTGAAATTCATTGATCTAATAATAAACTGTACATACATCTTGTTTTTAGAAAAAGAGGAGAAACAATAGGAAAAAATTCTGTATTAAAACAGAGACCATCTCAAACAGAGCATTCCCTTGCTAAAAAACAGAGCACTGCCGATTAACTTCTATTTTACAGTTATAGAATTAATATAAAATCAAATCTAGTTTGTGTCATACATGTCTAATTTTTATTCACACTAAACACCGTTTAACTACTACTTTTGCTTTTTGGGAATTCTGGTACAAATAATAAAACTATGAACCAAATTAAAAGTTATATATGTTTACGCAAATGTTGAGTTTATGATTACACTATCCAACTTCACCTAACATCGATCTTTCAAATTTACGAAAACCAAGAGAGTTTCTTTTTATTGATAACATAACAGGGAAAAAGAAACTCGAAGAACAGAAATAACGATAACAAATTTACAACACAAGCATCAACAACATTGTCTTATTACAAACCCATTAAACGTCTCTTTATTCATAGGGTTGTTTTATTGATGATAAAGAAGTAGAGATCTTTAAACGGGAACGATGTTGGTCACGGAGACTTTAACCATTTCAGCTTCAAAGATAATGGCATCATTAACCAAATACCCTTTGGATGCATCGTTTAAATCTTTAAACAATATGATATTGTTCACTCCCACACCATAATCGCGTCGAATCGGGTACCAAGCTGCAGCTGTAGAATAAGAAAAAAAAAAACCATATTATATCAACTATTAATTTCATTCCCTCATTTTGTTTTTCTCCTGAGTAAAACATTATTTTTTTGGAATTAGTTTTCTTACAGTATAATTGTCTGTGGTTAGAGCTTCGCTGATTCTTTAACCGCAGATTAACCGCTCCCCAAGTGTTTGTAGCGACTGCGTTTGTCTTAAAGCCTGTGGCAAATAGGAAGAGTGGCAGTGCATGTGGTCTTCCACCTCCATCCCCTTTCGGGTTAAATCCTAATCTCCTGATTATACATTAAGTAATAAAACATTTATTACACTTTTTTTTTTTCAACTAACCTAACACTGAAGAACTCACATTACACTTGCAACAAATGAGATGAATTTTGATTAATCTTCAAATATATTTATATAATACGATAAGAAAAGTACTAACCAGTATCGGTCTCCAACGAGAAAATCGTCAGAGTAGTAGAACTTATCTTCCAAAGTGGAGAAACGAAGTATCTTCCACGTGAAAATGTTGTCCCGAGGGTTTGATACAAATGTGACTTTCTCTTCTTGTTCGACTGGTTTAACGATGAAGATCTCAGCACCAAAAGAACAAGTGTCTTGCACGATGTAACCTTCGTTCGTGTTGTAGAATGTTGAAAGAGGAATCAATTGTCCGAATCCCCATTCTTTTTTGGCATCGTTGTATCTTTTCACTGTTCCATCTATAATCCAAAATTATTGGAAAATCAGACTAGTATATGAATTCTACACTATATTTTTATTAGAAAGAGAGAATGTATATAGTAAAACATTTATATATACATTTTAAAAGTACCTGTAGCAGAAAAGTATTTCTGTTGCTTCTGATTGTGGACAAAGAGTTTAAGATCAACATTGACTTCCCAACCCTTGGGAAGAGATTCTGTATCTTCGATCCTCACGTAAAGTGATATATGATTATTTCCTCCATCGTTTTTATTACCAGTCACGTACAAAATCAACCTCCTGATTTGGTTCATACAAAAAAACAAAACCATTAGGATTTTTTAAAAATAATAATAAAAATAAATAGTTAGAATGACTAACCAATTGTAACCAGCAGCCTCAAAAACAGAGGATTCATAGGGTTCAAATCTTTCCTTAATCGTGGAGAAGATTTCGATTGTCACTATCTTACTCGATGGTCGCTCTTCTCTCAACATTTTTATCATCATTTCTGTCAACGAAAATCCACAAAAAAAAAAAAAAGGGTTTCAGCTTTCACCAAAGAATAAACGATTTCAAACAGCAAGTGTACCAAGATTTGCCCAGAGATTGTTAAAACTGTTATACATTTATAGACAGACACGTTACCAAAGTAAGATACTGAAAGTGGATTCTTCGTGAAATAATAAAAGAAAAGAACAATTTTTTTTAATAACAAGAAAAGAATATTTTATTAATACACATTCGTCGTTATTGTTATTTTTGCTTGTTCGAATATGTAAAGTATCAGCTTCGACTGCACCACAATAAGGCAAATCAATCCACTCAAATCAAATTGGTTAAAATGTGAACGGTTTTGACCCTGTGATTTAAATATTTTAGAAAACTTTGATTTTGCTGTTAATATATTATCTTTCTAAGACGTAAAAAAAAAAGTCGAATGTGATATCCAATTTATCAAATGAACTTCTATTATCTTACTTAGTTTTTTAGACTTCTTTGTGACTTAATATACAATACAAATACAATACAATACTTGAAACCTTCAAAATAAGACTTGTGCTATATCACCATTAAACCTGATTTCCATTGTATATGGTTGAGGTCTAAAACTGACTCAATAGACTTGAAAGAAAATGCGCACATGATTTTACTATACTCTTCAACATTCTATCCTAATTCCTAAGCTATTCCATCAGCCTAGATTTTGGTTCGGTTTAATTTAGATTTGATCAAATGTTATTTGTATCATACGAGTTCAAATCTTGATCAACTAGATATTTAGTTTTATTTATAAAATATGTTCAAATTTTGTTTTTTCCTTCTTATGGGTTCTAAACCAAATTAAAAACTTATTGATGTTTTTGAATAGGTTGAGTGTGCTTTTTCCATATAACTTTCCCTTACACCTTTCAAAAAGGTTGAAAAATCAAGAGAGTTTCATTTCACTGATAACAAAACAGGAAAAGAAAAAACTTGAAGAGCAGAAATTACGATTACAACACAAAAGCATCATCAACAACTTCATCTTATTACAAACTCATCAAAGTCTCTTTATTCGTAAGCTTGTTTGATCGATGATAAAGGACTAAAAGGAGAAGAGATCTTTAAACGGGAACGATGTTGGTCACAGAGACTTTAACCATTTCAGCTTCAAAGATAATAGCATCATTAACCAAATACCCTTTCGATGCATCGTTTAAATCTGTAAACAATATGATATTGTTCACTCCCACACCATAATCGCGTCGAATCGGGTACCAAGCCGCAGCTGTAGAATAAGAAAAAAAAAACCATATTATATCAACTATTAATTTCATTCCCTCATTTTGTTTTTCTCCTGAGTAAAACATTATTTTTTTGGAATTAGTTTTCTTACAGTATAATTGTCTATGGTTAGAGCTTCGTTGATTCTTTAACCGCAGGTTAACCGCTCCCCAAGTGTTTGTAGCGACTGCGTTTGTCTTAAAGCCTGTAGCAAATAGGAAGAGTGGCAGTGCATGTGGTCTTCCACCTCCATCCCCTTTCGGGTTAAATCCTAATCTCCTGATTATACATTAACCAAAAACCGTTACTACGGAATTCACATAAACCGGTCTAATTAAAAGATCCGATTACCCAAAAAAAAAAAATCACATATATAATGAAGTACTAACCAATATCGGTCTCCAACGAGAAAATCATCGGAATAGTAAAATTTATCTTCCAAGGTGGAGAAATGAAGTATTTTCCAAGTGAAAACATTGTCAGGAGGATTTGATATGAATGTGACTTTCTCTTGTTGCTCGGCCGGTTTAACGATGAGGATCTCAGCACCAAAAGAAGCAGTGTCCCCCACGATGTAACCTTCGTTGGTGTTGTAGAATGTTGAAAGAGGAAGTAATTGTCCAAATCCCCACTCTTTTTTGGCGTCGTTGAATCGCTTCACTGCTCCATCTGTAATCCACAGTTATGCAAAAATAAAAAATCTAAGAGTTGCCAAGAAAAAGTTGCAATGTCTGAAATTATTCTAGGCCAATATATCGATCTCTTAGAAAAAATACTAGAATGGATCTAGTAAAAACCCATTTTGGCATTTTAAAGTACCTGTCACAGTCAAGTACTTGTGTTGCTTGGAATTGTAGACAAAGAGTTTGAGATCAACATTCACTTCCCAGCCTTTAGGAAGAGATTCTGTCTCTAAGATCCTCGCGTAAAGTGAAACATGATTACTTCCTCCATCGTTTTTATTACCAGTCACGTACAAAACCAATCTCCTGATATTGTTTTCATCTATTTAAACTCAATATATGAGAACTATTTAAAACCAAAATGGACAGAGAGTAGTTGTAAGATCTTCACCATTTGTAACCAACAGCATCAAAAACAGAGGATTCGTAGGGTTCGGATCTCTCCTTAATAACGGAGAAGCTTGTTATTGTCACTATCTTACTTGATGGTCGGTCTTCTCTGAACACTCTTGTCACTCCTGTCAACAAAATTTTCCAAGAAAATCAAGAAATGAATTTTTATTTTTTTCCAAGAATCAAGAAATGGATTTCAGTCTTTCACCAAGAAAAATTAAAAGATAAAAGATTTCAGACAAACCAAGATTTCCCTCGAGACTGTAAGAACTGTTGGACTCTGTTACTCTCCCCTCTGTGACCTGGATTTGTATTTCGTTGTTAAAAATTTAGTTTTAATGAAAAGAGCTAATCGATCGGAAGAGCGTTTTAAAAACAAAAAAGGGAAAGAAACAAAACCTGTTGAATAAGGAACTCAGCTGAAGAAGAAGTGATGAAGAGAAAGGCGAGAGATATGAAACCCAAACTCAATTTTTGACCATCCATATTTTGAGATCTGTGTTTTGCTTTTGCCAAGGCTTTACATTTATATAGACAGACGGGTGCATTAGGATACTTCTAGAGTATAGTTTTTTTTTTTTTCCTCGACGACTTTATTGAGTTTTGTTACAAATAGTATAAAATACTGAAAGTGGATTCATCGTGAAAAAATAAAGAAATAATTTTTTTAAGATACGGAACAATTTAGTAAGGAGAGAGTTGTATTTTTTTAGCATTCATTATTATTATTTTTGTTTAGTTGAATGTGCGAAGGGATCAGCTACGATTTGGTTATTGTTATTTTTATGCTTTTCCAAGTACCCCCAGTCTATTATTAACAAATGTTTATGGATTTGTGGGATATTTTGATGAAGTAGTGGATGGAAAATGTTCAAAATAAGCGACACGTTTTACGCGAGATTACTTTTGCGACGATCGACTCAATGTCAAGGGTGATATCACTCATGAAGAATATAATTCATAAAACATTCATTTAAATTACTATAACCATTTAAAAAAAAAATAGACACAAACCCAAGTTTAATCCAAGTTTTATTTTTCAATAAACCACTAAAGCACGACACTAATCTTATTATACTGTGGGTTCATTTAGAAAAGAATGTACACTTTGACCACGATTTTTTTTTCTTTTTGGTGCTTGCGTTCACATTTCTATATATGTTATGATGATTATGATAATTCATGTCACAATCGAGGTCTATCATAATTCATATATCAAGTAAAGTTATTTAAATAGTTCTCTAGTACCATTATCTAATAGTCACATTGCCTTTTTTGATAAAATGTTTTCCCGGTACACAATTTTTTTTCGAACAATATTATATTTTCACATGCATATCATATTATCACACCATACGTGTCGCCGTGACGGGGTGGTTGAAAAAGTCAATGCATGTGTTGACGTTCTGATCTGGCCTTTACATTGACATATGTGATATGTCATATATATGTGGCGACGTAAAGCTGAAATGCATTTAACTTTAATAGCCGTCTCAATTGGCACATCAACTGTTACTAAATGAGCCACATGCACTCCTAACAAATGTACCTCTCAACATTCAATTTTTCGTGGGAATAAAAAGACAAAGCTCTAAAATTCAACTTATATACTACATGTGGATGATTGTCTTTTATATGTCGGATAATATGATAACGACAGGATCAACCGCGGATAAAAATGTAACAGTTTCACATTCATTTTTATATGAACATTATATATTTATCGTATAATTCTGTATAATCATGCCGAAAACTGAATACACGTAAACAGAAAAAAAAAATGTATGATCATGCTAAACCTGAAGAAGACAGAGATCAGAAAAAGGAATTGGTACAAGAATCAACAATTTGTTATCAGAAAAACTGTGACTGATCAAAAAGCTCAAGCAGTTCTCTTCTCGACGTCATGCTCATCCTCCTGAAGCATAAACCTCTTCCAGTACCAATGCGGTTTCCACACACTATCTCTCATGTCATCGATCGAGACTCCTTTTGTCTCGGGAACGAAGAACAGTGCAAAAAGTCCCATCACAACGATCCAAGCACTGAAGAAGAAAAATATCCCTGACTTCATCCCACAAAGCATCGATAGGAAGGCCTGAGCGATCACGAACGTGAAGAACATATTGCACGAGACCGCCAATGCGAACCCTTCGGTTCGAGTCTCCACGGGAAAGGTCTCGCTAGGGATTAGCCATCCTAGAGGACCCCATGACCAAGCGAAACCCATCACGTAAACACACACGAAGATCACCACTACTAGTGCTTCTGCTCGCCCTAGCGTACCGGTCACGTCTAAGTCCTTGGCTAGGATGATTCCAATGACCAACTGTTTTAAGAAAATTGCTAGTTTAGGAGGATTGCTTGCGAAACAAGAAACTGTAACCTAACTAATGCTAAATTACTTGGACAATAAGAAACCATTAGAAGAAAAAATGACCTGGCAAACGAGCATGTGAACGGAAGACTGGAGCAAGAGAAATCTCCGGCCAGTTTTGTCGACGAGGTAAATCCCGACAAACGTACTGAGAACGTTGATAGTTCCCGTGACAACCGCAGAAAGCAGAGCAGCATCGTTTCCAAACCCTACGGTCTGGAACAAAACTGGAGCGTAGAAAATAATCGCGTTGATTCCAGTGAACTGTTGGAAAAGCTGGAGCAACATTCCGATCACAAGAGGCGGTCGGCTAGCAGGTTTCAACAGTTTCCTGTAAGGATCCTTGACTTGTCTCGCGAAATCGCAAGCGTGGACGATTGATTCATACTCTTCATCAACATCTTCCACGCCTCTGATCTTCTTGAGCGTTTCTTTGCCTTGCTCTGTTTTGTTCCGCTCGATGAGACTCGTTGGTGTTTCGCAGATGAGAAACGATCCGAAGAGGAGGATAAGGGCGGGAACTCCGGCGCCACCGAGTGCGAATCTCCACCCGTAAGGGTGAATGGAAGAGGTGAAGTAGTTGACTATGTTGGCGATTAGGATTCCGATTGTAACCATTAGTTGGAATACAATGTTGAGACCTCCACGTAGCTTCGCCGGAGCAATCTCTGATAAGAAAAGCGGCACCGCCTGCAAAATATTTCAACACATTCTGATAATGTTTAGTCTTCGTTCAAGAAACCTTGAAAAATTCATCACGAACTCGTACATAAACACAAAAGTTGATAGTTGTGTACCTGATTACCAAAGCCAACGCCAAATCCGAGCAAGATTCTGCCGATGATCAGCATGTACATGTTAACAGCTCCGGCGGCGAGGCCAACGCCGAACAAGAAGAAGATGGAAGCGAACTGCATTGTGGGTTTCCTGCCGAGCTTAGAACACGTGGCAGAGGCGAAGAAGCTGGCCACGAGAGCTGCGAGGTAGAGCGAGGAAGTGAAGAGTTGCAAGAACTGGTTGTCATACTTGCAGTAGTTGTTCTCGTGCGCATGCTTCTTCCTCTCGTACACTACTGGAAAAAATTCCTTCAAGAAATCGTCCATCGCCGTTACTCCACCTGTTGTTTTCACACATCAGTACCATTTAGACTCGATCTAAAGGATGAGGCCAATAAGCAAATGACTCATAAATACCATTTAATCGCTACATGAGCTAGTTAAGGAACCAAGATTGTATATATTATGGTTTGGTTCACTATCTAATGTTGATCTCGGGGTTTGATCTAAAGTATATAAACTTTAGATGTATATATCATTTGATTCGGATACTATTTTCATTGGACCAACATTAGATAGTATACCATTTTCATTTCTATTGGACTTACATTAGATGCATTCCCAAGTGACATTAATATGTTTTGATATTTAGCATCCAAATAGCAAAAGAGCTAATGAAATTTGGTTAAGTATATACACATTTCTTGATCCAAAAGGAACATGCCTAAAAACACCTACTAAGTTGGAATCAGTTTCTTGATCCATAAGTAACGCGAAAAAAGAACAAGAGAAGAGAATCGAACCAGATATTCCAATGTCATAACCAAATATTAAACCGCCTACAGCCGCGATAATGACACAGATGAAGACATAAATAGTCATCTTGGCCTCGAAAGCCGGTGAATTACCGCTAGACGATATAACCACAGCCATGGTTTTCAACTTCTAGATCTCTCAAAATGTTAGTGTGTATATCTTTGTTTGTGTCTGTGCTTCTCTATCTTGTAAAGGGGAGCGAGAGAAACAGAGACAGAGATCTTTACTTTTGAAAATGAGACAAAGAAAGGTTCATATATTTATACAGGGAGGAAGATACAAAAACCAAAAAGAAGATACAGATTCTGTGAAATGAAGATACAGATGATGTCTAAAATGGAATATTTGATTCGTTGGTCAAATATATTTGGATCAATTTTCTTGTTTTTGACTCTTTTTTGGGGTTCTAACAGTCAGCATTCGCTGTCATAGATTCAGTTATTCACTTTCGGCTTCTCTTTTTAATCTGTTTCAGGCAAGGATTTTTATTGTTAGCATATATGAAACGGATTTATTACGTCTGGATTTGGTTAATCCTTATCCAAAGCACAATCTGCGTGGATTTATTGTTTTTTTTTTCCTTCTTTCTATCCGGATACATGAGAAGAAATAAAGAACAATAACTCGTCCCTTTTTTTGTTGGAGAATATAAAACAAAATCCTGATTGGTCGTCAAAGATAGTAATAATATAAATTAATTTTTGTAAGAAATCAAGAAGAAAAACGAAAATTAATTATGATATTAAGTTTCACATATAGAGTCACAAATGTTTTCTAATTATCTAAACGTAATTCAAAAGAGAGATAAAAAAACAAAGGATGTTTTAAATATGTTGAATTGGATTTATGTCGTATAGTTTAGAATAAGTTTACCACTGCAACTAAATTTCAATTGAAATATTCACAAAGGCCCGTAGGCGAGTATTTCCATTTTCTTAACACGGCCCTGTCAATCATATATCCTTCAGACCGGTTTTGGAGCAAAGCTCCCCAAATTCAAAACGGGGAAAAAGCATGTCGTTCGTAGTATGGACGAAGAACCGGCTGAGTAAGGATCTTTAGATACCAACTTCAACTGTTTTGTATATGTTGACTGTTTTTCTAGCCTAAAAGATCGTCTAGAAGCGGACGTGCAGCGTCCGTTCGCGTTGTTGTCTCACTGTACCGACCTCTGCAGGCAAAAGAATGGGCAACAATGAGGTATATGCTAATGGGCAAAGACTAGATTGCAATTCAAAACAAAAATATTTGGATGAGTCTTATAGGAGGGTTTAGACTAAAGGATCATAACACCAGACTTGAGAGACTCCCAAGGCTTTTGTGATTAAGACACAATAATAGCTAATCACAAGAATAGCAAGCTAGAGACCTTACACTAGTTGACTGTTGGAGTTCCACTGCTGATGATTCCCCATTTTCCTACATAACCGACCCAGCAACATCACCGATGTTATTCCTATTTCGGATTTGTTAAGGAAATGTTTTGTAAAACCTTTTTCTGCTGATCTAAAAGAATGAGTACCTCAATTAGCAAATCCTTTCTTGTGATCAAGCCTATCACACGGGACGGACGGGGAACAACGAATAAATGTCTCAATCCAAGTTGCCGGAAAAGGTTGTATACCTGATTCAAACGGATCAAATTCTCAACCAATGATGATGAATATTGGTGTATCAATAAAACATAACCAGAGCTTTTTACTCACCTTTGTCAACGACATGTCTTCAGGAACAACGTATGGAGATGGATTTAAAAACGGAGCAAGATCTATGTACATCTCTAAATCATCTGAAGTTAAATGTATATCCTCTATGCATAACCCTTTCGATGAGACAGGTTTAGCAAACTCGCTGAAACTGTGCCTGGATATTGCAGAATCAACTTATTTATCAGACAAGATATGCTCCTTCCAAAGAGAGTGGGAAAAAAAGAGTGTAGAACATTATCTTACCTGATAGGTCTAGCACTTGGATCACAAGGCAAAGGACTATGTTGGAAATCTACCTTCGATTGAAGGAGAACAAGCAAGTGACTGCATGGTGAACAAATACTTAGAATGATATATTTCTTTTCAAATAATTCCTTTTGCGGTTGGTGGAAAAATGAACAATCACTTACCTCCGCAGAACTAACCCGATGACAAGTGTTTCACCACTTCTCGTGTGGTCGATTACCTGGCACAGAGTCAAAAAAGTAAAAAAACATGAGTACAGAGGACTAAGCAGTCACGAGTCAAACCTGTGTGGGAAAAGAAATGCTTACCGGAAATCCATTGTGTTTATTGCTACGCAAAATTGAAGCAACATCTGCAACCCTGATAACTCGAGGTAAAGAGATTACCTTCAAAGATGAAAAAACAAAAGTTTTGGTTAAGCCCAAATAAGAAGCATGTGTCACAAGCTCCATCTTAGTGGTTGGCTGATGGAACATAGCTCTCTGAGTATACTGAGGGAGAAATGATAACAACCTTCTGACTTTGACAAGCTTCCTTTGCAATCATTTGACGCATATGATACTTGGGTCTCGATTCCAGCAATGGAATGCCCTTCAGGCGTGCTTGTACTTCATACAATCCCTCATTGAAAGCATCACCGACGGCCTAAACGCAGAAGAAATTAATAAAAGCGTATTTCCATAAGAACCAAGAAAAATGATAATGGTTGTAAGTTGTAACTCGTACCTTTGAAATGAGGAGAACCAACATTATAAGAGGCAGAAGTTTCAGGTTATTTGTGATTTCAACCATGATAACACATAAAGATACAGTCATCCGCATCGAGCCTCCAAGAAACGAAGCAGCTCCCAGCAAAGCATATCTAAAGTTTAAAGACTTTTTCTATTAAATGTTGTAAAGCAAAAGAATCCCAAAGTTCACCCAAAAATCTGAAAAAAGAAGTAAGATCAACAAAGCACACTCACGTTCCCTCCTCAATGTTGAGCTTCTTGTAAAACCTGACAACAAACATGCCTACAAGACGCCCGTAAGTTGATCCTATCATTATCCCAGGAACAAACTGCCCAGCGGGAACAGCAGTGCCAAAGGTCACCACTGCTAATGTATAAAACATAGCCTGCACATCATTTAAAACAAAACAAAAAGGACGAAGAATCAGAGGAAATACCAAATAGAAAGAAATCCCTAGAGATAAAGAGATGGAACGATGTTAAAAGTCAAATCAGCATGTCCCTTTATTCTATTGCTACCATGCACATGATTCAATCAAACTCAAACCTGCCAAGGACTATACACCAAAATTAAGGACATATGACCATGTTGATCAGGATAGGAACTTTAAGAACAAATAAGTAGAAGAATTTCATACCAAAAACGTTAGTAAACTCTGAGCACTGAACTCTCGCATCGTTTTCGCGCTGAACAAATTCCTTATAGCATCATCCTGTTGTCTTAAAGAAAAAGCAAAACAGCTGAACTGAGACAATGGGGCTTATAAATAAAGCAACTAGAAATTGAAAATAATTATTTATTGAAAATAATTATTTTGTAATTATTCTAGAAGAAAAGACCTGCGTATTGAAGAAAATTGTAGCGAGATCATTGTATTCGTTGTCTGTTTTGCAGTAGAACTGAAATGATTGACACAAAGAAAAACAACAAGAATGCAGAAGAGATGTCAGGAAAGTCATAAAGCTCAACAGAGGTAATGAAATGCCATAAAGTTTTGGGAACAGATTATTCAGGTTTTTCTAGAAAACACCATCAAATGAATTCCAGATAAGCATCTAACCAGAGTGCTCAACATGCACTACGTATAATTAATAAAACTCATAAGTTCATTGCTGCACACTTTTGCCATCGTAATTACAGTTAAATGATGGTTAAATATAGGCGTTATGAAGAATATGAAACAGATCTCAAAGATACACATCTATCTATAACAGTGTCTTACATTTACGTAATTCCCATACATTCCTGGAGGCCGTGGACACTCAATACCAGAATCAGGAATTGATTCAGGGCACGGACTGCATTTCCTTAGGAGTGGTAGCCCAAATGAGATCGCTGAAGTAATACAAGAGATGATGCATGCTTCATATATCTGCAAATTTAAATTTTGTTAACAGTTTTTTAAATCTAGCAACGAGCGATCAACTTTCAAGATGATAAACATAACCAAATATATCCTGTAAATCGTCCATCAAAGATTACCTTCACTCGATTTCCTTTCTTGTGCAAAGAATTGCGACGCCAAGATGTCATATAAAGTGTAAGCTGGTTAAATAATGCCCCTGAAGGAGAAATGAGAAATGAAACAGTCAGAGGTAGAAATGAAGCCAAGAGTACAGTAAAAGAAAAATCCTAACCAAGTAGGCCTCCGATAACTCCAATTACAGCCATTGGTAGTAGCTCCTTGAAATAGTAGTCATCTTGACCACTGAATGAGTGTAAGAAAAGTTTCAAGTCAATTCTAGAACTCTTAACTTTGCACAATATAGGTGAGCACTGAAGCTAGAACCTTACTCTGATACATCCCATATAATGAAACCACCTCCACCAAAGTGTCCACATATTCCACTCTTGCACCATCCCATGGCAGTACGCACCACAACAGCCACAATAGCGGAAGTGAAAAAGACACGCCACATAAGTTGACTTCTCCACCTTCAATAGGACATGCAAAGTAAATTAATTGGACAGACGGCATAGCATCCCAGACTCACACTAGGTAAGACATCCTAAGAATAAATGCACTGCTGTCAAGTGACCCAGTTGCTAAGGAAACAATAGAATAGACAACAGAGTTCCTCAACTGGTTGTTTCTCAGAACAGAATAATTTCAGCAGCTGGACAAAGGGTGAGGAAAGGACCCTACCATGATGTAACCTCCTCTAATGCAAATAACACTCCGCCAACTGGAGCTCTAAATGCTGCAGCAACTCCAGCTGCACATCCACAAGTGACCTTTCAAAGCATCGCAAAAGTGAAGTAATAAGATCTCTCTAGAGACTTGGACCTAACCTACTACAAAAAGAAATCAGATAGCATTCTTCACAAGAACCATCTAAGGAGCTTACAAGATCACGGCGATCTCTGTCACTCTTAAAAAGTTGCGGCCATCTAGAATTCAGATGATATTTCGTGGATCCACCCTGAAAC